TTTAAGGCATTTGTATCTTCTCTCTTTAGTATTATTTCACTTGTATTTTTGGAGTGGAATAAAATATTGGTCGTGTCCGAGGAGTAGGCAAAATTAGCCGAACCTCATAAATTCTGGTGTTCCTTTTATTGTTGCTTTATTGTCTTATTTATTATTTGGTGGCTGTCATAATTTTTGGTATAGTAGTTGTGACTTATTCACACTATATACATTTGGCTTCCGCAACATCATTCAATATATTAGAAGGTGAAATCCCAAGTAAAGGACCTTTTTTCAATTTCACCTCCCAATCTTTTATGGGAAATGAAGAGTTATGTGGTGGTTTCCTTTTCTAACCTTGTACGGCTAGGCCTGTTCATCACTCATGGAGAAGCAGATTCTGCTGATTGTACTTGTCCCATTATCGGTTTCATTAATGAGAGTTGGCTCAATTGTTGTGTTCGTGTTCTGGAGACGTAGAAATGTCCAACCCAAGTCGAATCTTTACCTACAACAACGATACTAGCCAGGATTTCATACATTGAAATTGAAAGGGCAACTCAGGGGTTCAACCAATGCAACTTGCTAGGACATGGAGGTTTCAATTCTGTTTACAAGGGCATCTTTGCGAATGGGATAGTTTTGGCAATCAGAGTGTTTAATTTACAGATTGAAGGTGCATTTAAGAGTTTTGATACTGAATGTGACACAAAATTACATGAAAGAAGGCTCCAGAATAGCCAGTTACAATAACATTCCAAGCATCTCAATAAAGTCTAAATATTGGTCTACATTCTCCATAATACTGCTCTTACACCAGAAATACAAATTATGCAGACAATTGTTCTTAATTCTAGAGATATATCTTCTTTGTCCTTCAAAGCATCGCTTGTTTCTTTCCAGCCATAAAGTCCAAAAGATGCATAGAGGAATGGTATTCCAAAATTGCTGCTATCTTTTAGCTATTCTTTGACTCTGCCAGCTCTCCAGCAAACTCCTAACATTGTGGGGCATTACCCAGGATACTCCACAGATATTCAAGAAAAGATCCCAACACTGCCTTGAGATTTCACAATGTAGAAGAAGGTGATTTGTAGTTTCCTGGTCTCTTTCACATAGATAACATCTATTACTTAGTGCAAAGCCTCTTTTCTGCAGATTATCTTGGGTCAAACAAGCTCCCATAGTAGTAATCCACCCGAAACATGCCACCTTTACATGTGCTTTAGTCTTCCAGAGTATTTTCCATGGCCAATCAGATTCCCAGTGTCCTATCTGTTGTTGTAGTAAATTGTAACAACTCTTGACTGCGAACTTCTTATCCCTACTTGCAATCCAAATCAACGAATCCCTCTTGTTTTCTTCCACAGCAACAACATCCAATTGCTGTAATAACTGACATATGTCATCCATCTCCCAATCATTTAGACCTCTTCTGCAATTAATTTGCCAACCAGTAGTAGAGTAAAATTCTGCAACAGTTCACGTTTTGTTAGTTGAGCAACTGAATAATGTTGGAAACTTCGCCATAGAAATCTTACCAAAGTTATGAGCAGTTGTACTAACATGGATTTTAAAGCATTTCTTCTAGAGTACATGCCCAATGGAAGCCTAGAGCAATTGTTACATTCTGATGATTACTTCTTGAATATGATCCAAAGATTAGACATAATGCATCAGCTTTGGAATATCTCCATCATGAGTCATGGTTATGCAACAGTCGTTGTACATCGCGACTTGAAGCCTAGTAACGTCTTGCTAGACGAAAGGCTGGTTGGACATGTGAGTGACTTTGGCCTGACCAAGTTATTAGGAGAAGGAGAATCTATTGCTCATACCAATACACTTGCAACGATGGGCTATATTGCACCAGGTAACTTTCTTTTTTGTCTTTTATTATCGAATATAAAGTGCTAATGTATCAAATAGTACGTAATCTTTTTTTCCCTAGTTTTATGTAATATATCACAGATTCACGAAAAAATGATATTGAAAACATCGAAATATAGAGCTCATTTGGCTTAAGCTAAAATAGGAATGTAGCTTTTAAGCACCAAGTGCTGAAAAATATTTTTTAAGTGCTGAAACTGATTTCATGAACAAGAAATTACACGGTTAGATAGAAGTGCTGAGACTGAAACAAACAGTTGATGTGTTTGTTAGAAAAGTGCTTATAAGCATTTTCTCTATTAAAATGACCAAAATGCCATTAAATATGTTGGTATTAAACAATAGATTATTGCAAGACTTTTCATTTCCAATACAAATTATCATATCTTCCATTTCATTTTTAAGTTTTAAATTGAATAGATAAAATTATCTTGAATGAATATAAGTTATTTATCGAAATAACATAGTAGTAATTAACATATCTTTTGGCTTAAAAGTACAAGACTTTTAAATAGGTTTTTTTTTGGCTTGCCAAGCATAAATATCTTATTTGCTAGTTTTAATGTAACATATCACAGATTTTGCATGAAAAAAAGGGTATTGAGAATGTGGAAATTTGACAATGTCAAACTCTATATTCATGCATCTACGACAATTATAAAAAATAAAAATGAAAACTGTAAGTTTTTTTGTGTCATTTGACTGTCTAACGCTTGGTTCATTCCCGTTCTACCTTCAATTTTTTTTATTTAAAATTTATCTACGCAAGATAGATTTAACTTTTTTATTTTTAATATCTTCCAAATACAAAGATATTACTTTCGTTTATTTATTTAATTTGTTAAGAAACTAATTTACTCTAGTAAAATTGGATCAGAGTATGGATCAGTAGGATTAGTTTCTAGAAGATGTGATGTGTACAGCTACGGCATAATGCTCATGGAAACATTCACAAGAAAAAAGCCATATGATGAAATGTTTCAAGAAAATTTGAGCATGAGGAGTTAGGTCTGTAATTCAATACCTGCAACACCAGAGGATATTTTTAATGTCGCCTTATTGGGACCAGAAGAGATTGATTTCAAGAAAAAGGTGCATTATGTCCTCTATTTTGGAGTTGGCTTTGAATTATACCGTTGAATCTCTTAATGAGAGGCTGAACATGAAAGATGTCCTGTCAAATATCAAGAAGATCAAGCTGGAATTTCTTCGCAAATGATGTAGCAAGGTTAAAAAAAAAAAAGAAATTAGCAAGGTTTATGTGATGGTAAGTATCCAGTTTTTTCATCGATATTCTATGTCGTCTGGATAAAAATAATTATTTTCTTGTATATACCATATATAAATGTAGAAAATGAGCTTTTTTTTTCCCAAACAAATATATCCCTTGTAGTAAAACTAAATTGAAGGACATCTTTTTAAAGAGTCTTAATTTAAGAAGGCAAAAACAAAGTCCAATGAAACTAAGAAAAAATTTTAAAGTTAAAAAATTTAAGAGTTTCATTTATCAAAGGAAAAATATGAAAATAACTCAAGTCTCTGTTACTATTAGTATATTTTTGCGTTTGTAACCATAATGAATGAGCCAACTATAGTTTGATCCCCTTTAATTTTGAACATGTAGTGCCGCCTTTTCCTACTCGGTGACACCAATTGAGATGACAACCAATATTTGGCGCGAGATTTGGACTTTTCTCGTTCATTGTGCTTTTCTCTGGTGCGTGTTTAAGGTTTATGTGTAAGTGTGTACTGAAGTTGGCATAGAAGAATGCCTTGTATAATATTGATGATCATATTATGTAGAATCAGCTTCAAGAGTCGACGAAGAGCAGTGTAAAATGTTGAACTACAAGCTATAGGCTCTTTTGGTTACCAAGTTGGATGGAGTTGTTCCAATTAATAGCTTGACTGCAGATTGAAAGCACAGATACAGTCCAGATTTTCCACTCTCACAAGTCACAATTGAAATTGAGACTTAAAACCCAAATATTTAAGGTGGGTCCTAATTGGTGAAAAAAACTAAAAGAATGAAAAACTCCTTTCCCAAGTACTTAGATCACCCGCCCAATCACTAACACTTGGCAACTAAAATCCACTGACTCCAAGAAGAAAGCAATTTCCAGTAAAAATTCCAACATTGACTTAGACCAAGTAGCAGTTAGTAACAAGCATAAAAAATCAGAAACAACTTTGGGTTCGTTTCTACATCATTTGGCTTAGGTTTCGTACATTTGTTAATCCTCCAATATTGACTCTCAACAGATCAAAAAGTTTCTTTATTTCAATTTTCAATAGTTTCTGTCATTTGCAGAACAAATTTGTCTTCTCACTAACAAAGACAGCATGACAGCTCCTATAATCACATACAAAAGCTTCACTCTCTTTGTGGTTCAGTATGTTAGCGGTATCTTCATTAATCTCATAACTCAAAAACCAGAGATATGCTCACTGAGAACCATGCACCTCTTTTTTCTTGAACCGTTGGTCTTTGGCCAACTGGTTTGCTTAGCCATGGCAAAAACCAATATCACCACTAATCAATTCTCCCCTCTTACCCTGAAGGCTCAAATCACTTCAGACCCTCAAGGTGTCTTGGCAAAAAATTGATCTACTTTTATTCCAGTTTGCCACTGGTTTGGAATCACTTGCAGCGCTCGCCACAAGAGAGCAAGTAAAATAGATGTTTCTAACATGGGTGATGGGTCTTGGAGGTACCATTCCTAACGAATTAGGAAAACTATATTTTCTTATTTCTCATGATACGAGTGTCAACTTTTTGCATGAGGATTTGCCAAAAGAGTTGGTCAATTTATGACGACGAGGCAGCGGCAAACTAGATTATAACAGCTTCAATGGGTAGCTACCATTGTGGTTGGTTTCTTGAACAGGATTCAAGTTTTGACTCTAAGAAATGAAGGTTTCTATGGCCCTCTTTTCCAAATTGTCAAGCCTTGAGGTTTTGGACCTGTCTTATATTGAAATTCCAGAGGGTGAGACTAACACAACTAATGGATATCCAAAGCAGGTTCTTCCAGCTTCTCAAACAATGCAGTACACCTGAGAACGACCACAAGTTCCGCAAAATCTTGATGGACCCTATCTACTGACCAGTAGACTTCACAAGACCCGGCTCTGTTACTTTTTTCCTACAATCTTTTTCGAAACAGATGTTGATTAGCAAAAAGAAAAGGATGTTGTAGTAGAACTATTTTGCAGTAATGGGTGCACAATTAGCCATTAGGGCCAGGATGAATGCAGTATAGAAGCTACGGCTTAGACCCTGTATATGTATTATGAAATCTACTAGACCATGTAACTCAAATAGTCAGTGGGTTCGGTGACATTGCCCATAAAGTTTAAATCTTGGATCTGCCCCTAACCGTTGCACCGCTTTAAAATGGTGACATTACATAATGCTTTAATTTCCATCAATATGTTGATCTTTCATAAGAGATATACAACAATAGGGGGGAAACTACAAGGTAAAAACTTACTGCTGCAAAACTGGGGCAATTAGTTCAGCTGGCAAGTTTGAAAGCATCAATGAACAGACCATAAGTAAAACCCATCTTGAAGTTATTCAAAAGAGCAATTGGAAAAGTCACTTTAGGCCGACTGTAATAAAACCGCGTCACATACTCGGTAATTAAGACGCAGACTACAGCAGCAATGACATCATTGACTCCTAAAGCACCAAAAGATAGAGAAATTGTCTGAGCCACATAAAATCCACCCAGCAATGATATACCTCCAAATAGTGCCCTCCTTGATGGGCTTTTAAAATAATTTCTTGAAATCTCTGGCGCGACACGAATAATATCAACCAGTCGCCGAGGCCCTCCGCCATTATCTTGCAAAGCCTCAACTCTGAATAATCGTATCGGAATAGATGCCTCATTTGCCCTAGTTAAAGTCCCAATTTTGGATCTGATAAGGGTTGCTGGAGATGTGAAAGCCAGAGAATTTACCATTTTTTATGTCTTCTCTGCAATTAAATGAGTCAGCAACTACAAGGCATAAGAACATGAAACCCAATCCTCTAATCAATTCAAAGGAATTTTAGATTCATGACCTCAGACACCTAAAAAGCTTTTGTTTTCCTTAAATGCCCCCAATAAAGACGCTAGCAGCACTTTAACCCGAGGAGTTTTTTGTCTTTTCAAAAAAAAAAGAAAACCCAGCTATGGATCTTCCCCTTCTTTCAGGTACCTTTGTTCAACAAAAACGATGGATTCTTTCTTCACGATTCCAAACCGATTTTCACAAGACGATTAATTTGAAGGGAAGTTTATTCTTAGAATCTGTTGAGTTGCACCACACGGCGGATGTGAATATTCACTCTTTTTCGTGATTTAATTTTTGGATTTGAGACAGAGCCGTATCTAGGAATTGAAGGTGGCGGATGACATATTTACTTTAATGCATTGATTATAATGAATGTATATTCGGTTCCTTCCATCTCTTCCAAGTTTATTCAAGTCAACTTAATAGATTTTTTATTTACAAATATGAAAATTACATATTTTATACATCAAAAAATAGGACCAGACATATATCGGGTAAAACTGATAACTTAAACCATTAATTATTTATTGAGCTATCGGTATTGGATTATTGAGTTAACGGTTCGTTAACTGCTTGAAATTTTTTTACTATTGAGTTATCGGTTCAGGTCTCGGTTTGCCGATTTTGTTAATGAATTAATCGATAACCCAATAAGAATCAATGAAATTACTACTTTATCCCTAAGTATATACATATATTAGGGGTTCACTTCATTCTTTCCTATTTATGTGTCCGATTGTGTTTTTAGTTGTAAAAAATTGTAATCTTGAAGATAACAATGTTGAAATCAATTGTTTGTTTAGCGTTTCTTTGTGACTTTTCTTATGTGATCGATTTAATGAATTAAGTGTTTTAAAAATCTTTTAGGATTGACTAGCAAATAAAGTAAATTCAAAAACTTAACGTGCTTATGGGATTTGATTAAGTTCATTAGATTTTTGGTTAGGGTAGGTTTGACTTCTAAGAAAAATAAATTTCAAGAGCTGATCCTTTCCTTTCTTTTTTGGGGTCTGAAATTGTTCGGTTCTGCTGTAGGTTTCAGTTCTTCTTTTTTTTGCTTAACTCCAGTGAATTATCTTTTCTTTTTTGCTTAACTCTTGATTGAGTTATCTTATTGGGTAAACCGATAACCGAACCGACAATGATCGATAACCGATTAACCAATACCCGATAATCGATATCTTATCGATTTATCAAATTTATAAACCGATAATCGATATGTTAAACCGATAATACCCATAACCGAACCGAACCGATCAATGTCCAGCCCTATCAAAAAACAAATAGAATCAACATTTTGTACAATATATCACATTTCTATTATTAATAATACAAGTAAAATTAACATTTTCACTAGTGGAATTATACAACAACAACAACCTCTCGGTTGGAAGTGGGGGTTGCTTACCATCAGAGCAACCCATCTTGCTCTTGGGTAGAGAGAGATAGACCCCCGTCATCCTTCCCTCCAAGAACTTCCCACCTTGCTCTTGGGGAGACTCGAACTCACAACCTCTCGATTGGAAGTGGGGGTTGCTTACCATCAGAGCAACCCATCTTGCTCTTGGGTAGAGAGAGATAGACCCCCGTCATCCTTCCCTCCAAGAACTTCCCACCTTGCTCTTGGGGAGACTCGAACTCACAACCTCTCGATTGGAAGTGGGGGTTGCTTACCATCAGAGCAACCCATAAATTGAAAATAAATTGTCACATGTAAAATTAATAGTAATATTTTTTATTTAGAGAATCACACCGTCTCTATTAAAGAAAAATTTCACAAGTAAAACAACACAATTGGATAAGAGAACTACACCAATTCAGAATAAGAAAAATAGTAAAAGCATCTTCAATAGTTAAACAAAACTCCATAAGCAAACGTAAATTTCGATAATTTACAAGTCCCCAAAACTCAAAACCAAAAATTTTATGGCTTTTTTGTACAATACGTATGAAATTTTCCTTACAATTTAAAAGTAAACAGTTTTAAACTTTACACAACCATAGACAAGTACAAAATTATGATATGGTAAACAAAATAAATTATAAAATAGGAATTTGATCTCAATCCAAAATTTTCATCGAGACCCAAGTTTTTCAGATTTAAAAGAAAAAGACTTAGATATTTGAGATTAAAAGCAATACTTTTATTTACCCACACCGAGTATTTACATCAAATTGTACTAATTTACTATGTCTACATTACATCCTTTGAGTGCGGTCCTTCTCGGACCATGTGTGAACAAAAGATGTTTTGTGCATCGGGCTACCCTTTTTTAACCATGGTTAAGTGATAAATTAGTATGAGAATATGTATCAATTAACTATAGTTTAGTGTTAAATATATCTTTAAATACATATGTCGTATATTTATTGGATTGGCGGTACGGATAAGTATTTACCTTGGAACATGAGCCCTACACGCAATCAAACCTTGCAGAACGTCATGACAACCATGACACCTTTGTTGAGTTTGAGACTGCAGGTGGCAAGATTAATTATTTAACTTTGTTTAAGAAAATTTCAGCATACGTATATAAATTTTTTGCCAACCTAACGGGTGCCATGCCGCCCTCACCTAGAAGGGTGGATCCACCACTGGTCTGAGTTATTGTACAAATTGTAGTATTTCTTATTAAGCTCGTAAACACCTTCTATAATTTGTCATATATTTCTTAAGGGTATAGCCAGGTAATATATTTATATCAAACCAAGTAGATTCACTATGGTTAAGTGATTTAATAAAATAATAATATGCATTAATTAACCATGAAAGTAATAAATTAATTCATGATTCTATTAGTTTGATGCTATGAACGTGAAGTGCAAGTAAGTTTTTATCGAATACCGAGTGTTTGGTGAACTTAATAGTAAGTTTGTCATTTTATATTTTTTGTTTGTATATTATAGCCTTTTTGCGTACTACTTTCGGTCCATAGTATATGCATTTAAGTTTTTAGCACGCCACTTAAAAAAGATATTTACTATCTGAATCATCACAAAAATATTTTTCTAAGCTACTTTTTATCTCTTCTTAAGCATATTACTTAATTAACACTCCACTAATTCGAATATTAGAGGTAGATCATTTGAAGGGAAAAGACTTATTATTTTTTTGAACTATCAAGTATTTGAATACAAATTCAATTGACTAAAAAGGCTAATAATTGGGACCGAATGGAGGCATATTTTTAAACAGAATAATAAGCTATACGTACGAGATATTACTAATAAATATTCAAAGCACAAGTAGCAAACATGACATGTGAAAAATGATCAGTAAGATTACTCTCGGTTAAGCTTTTTTTATATTGGTTTTCCATTAGCGTTTTCTTTTTTCTTTTTTGGCTCGAGTAATTATTATTTGGATTAATACAATCAATCTGATAATCATTTATCTAAATAGTGAAAAAAAAGATGAAATACAAAACAAACGTGTCTGGTGGTCATCTATTCCTCACCGATCAGTCAAGCTTTTTTTAATATTTATACTCAAGCATTGTAAAGTATCTTGGGTCTATTATTCAAAGCAACTGGGAGATTATGAGGATGTTACTCATCGTATTGGAGCGGTGTGGATGAGATGGAGGCTCGCCTCGAGAGTTTTGTGTGATAAGAATGTGTCACCTAGACTTAAGGGCAGTTTTACAGAGTGATGGTTAGATCGATTATGTTGTACGGATTGAGTGTTGGTCCATCAAGAAGTCTCATATCTAGAAGATGAAAGTAGCTGAAATGAAGATGTTGAGATGCACGTTTGGGCATACCAAGAAAGACGGAATTGAGAATGAAGTTATTAGGGACAAGGTAGGAGTGACATATGTGGAGGACAAGTTGGAGGAATCGAGGTTGAGATGGTTCAGGCATGTGAAGATGACAGACATAGATGCTCCGGTCAGCAGTTATGAGCGGTTGTCCATGGCAGGTCTGAAGAAGGGAAGGGGTAAGCCTAAGAAGTATTGGGGAGAGATAATTAAATAGGACATGTCATTACTTCAGCTTACCGAGGATATGACCCACGATAGGAAGGTGTGAAAGTCGAGGATAAGGGTTGTAGGTTAATGTATAATAGTATGCTACTTCTAGGCTTACCAATAGTACTAGGACTATTTTTGTAATTTCTTAGGTAATCGAACTAAATCTAAAGTGGGTTTTAACTTAATATGTCATCTTTATTCAACGTCTAATGGTACTGATAAAAATCTCCCAACAACAGTAACAACAAACCAGTAAAATTTCACAAGTGGGGTCTGAGGAGGGTAGTGTGTCCGGAGACCTTACCCCTACCCTGAAGGGATAGAGAGGCTATTTTCGAAAGACCCTCGGCTCAAGATAATAAGAAGAAGACAAAAGGAGGGGATATTAGATTCATCACCGAGAAAAAATCTCCCAACACCCTTTGTAAATAGGCCTAATTTGGTGATGATGCAGTCCTTTGTGATCTATCTCGTGTTTTCACGGGATTTGTTGTTGCTATTATTGTTGTTGTATTTCTATCTCAAGTCTTCCTCTGATAAAAATGTTGTGAAGAGACTATAAGAATTCCAGGATTATGAAAGCTGGAGATTTCTGATATACAGTAATTCTTTAATATTATCATTACTACTCATTGACATGTTCACTGCTAGTTTATGATTTTTAAAAGGCAAAATACATAAGTTGTCACCTGACCTATGACCCAAATCCCCCTTACACACTTTCTGCAAACAAAAATTATTTTACACACGCAATCTTTCTAAAGTGTGTCTAAGACACACTACTTTTGTCAGATGAGGCGCGCGTGTTTAACAAATAAAGTGAGCGCGTCAGATCTATACATATTTTGTCAACATGCCCATCTGCAGCTTTATTCCAACGACTCAGATGTAATAAAGTCGATCTGATGGCCTACATTATTCTTTTCTTTTTATCTTTTTTCTTTTTACCAAAAAATTTCTTTCCAGCCTCCATTTTCTTTTCTCAAGGTATTGTTCACTCAATCTCATTGGATAATTACTTCGATCGTTTTCTCTACTCGAAAAGCTTGCCGGTGAACTAGTTATTTTCAAGTTTTTTCTTTTCCTTTTTTTCTTTTTTCCTTTTATAATGAGAGGAGCGTGTGACCAGAATAAAGGGATAAAATAAGTTTGACTTTGATTTTGGTTGCAGATTTTGAATCTACAGTTGCAGATTTTGATTTTAATTTTGGTAAGTAGAAATTTCAAAATTTGATAAGTTTGGGTGCTTCAATTATATGGATAGGTTCTTGATTCATGTTAATATTTTGTTCTGGTGGGGATTTGCCATGACTGTTGGAGTTTAGAGGAAGAGGTCGATGGGTATGGTGTTCAGAAGAAGATGAGAAATGTGGG